CCCGGCACCCCCCCGCCCGGACCGTGCTCTTCGAGAAGGATTCCACCGGCGTCACGTACCGCGTGCCCGCCCTGCTCTACCTGCCCTGCGTGGCCAAGCTGCTGGCTTTCGCGGAGGAGCGGCTGAGCGCTGATGATGCCCATGCCAACCTGCTGGTGTTGCGCCGCGGCACCGTCTACGGGAGCTACGTGGAGGTGGGACGGGGGATGCACCTGGGGCTGGGGGCACACGCTGGGCTGGGGGCACGGGGCAGACGGGTGGTTACCCTCCACCGCTTGTGCGTGGCACAGCTGAGTTCCCGGAGCCTCCCGCACAGGGAGGGAAGGCTGGGTCGGGTGAAGTGGGGTGGTCCTCACCACTCTCCGTCCTCTCCTCCTCCCGGGGCAGTGGGAAGACATGCGCGTGCTGGAGACGGCGACGCTGCAGCACCACCGGTCGATGAACCCCTGCCCGCTCTATGATGAGTTCACCGGCACCCTCTTCCTATTCTTCATCACGGTGCTGGGCAGGACGCCCGAAGCCTACCAGATTGTCACCGGCCAAAACGTCACCCGCCTCTGCTGCGTCACCAGCGTTGACCAAGGTCTGAGCTGGAGCACGGCCAGGGACCTGACGCAGCAGGTCATTGGCGGGGGGGCCAACACGGGGCCATCAAAGGTAGCCTACTGGAGAGGGGCGAGGAGGGGAGAAGACAGCCAGCAAGAGGGCAGCCATGGGTTTTGTCCTCCTGGAACCACCCATGGTGTGGCTGGAGGTGGCCTCAGGATAGGAAGCCCACGAGCATCAAAGGGATGGGGTGGAAGAGGACCTCAGGCAGATGGGAGAGGGGATGGAGGGAGTATCTGTATCACTTGCATGGGGGGAGAAAAGGTGGAGAGGCCCCATAGCTACGGGTAGGACCATGTGTGAGGAAAAGCGGCAGCACTGGGCTCTGCTGCCCTCCCACCCACCACCTTGCTTGGCTAGGCTGGGGGGATGCTCTGGAGACCCTCTGCATCGGGCATGGCGGGGGCACCATGGAGGCTCCTCTTCACCCCCATCCCATCTCCGCTCCCCAGACTGGGCAACGTTTGCGCTGGGCCCCGGGCACGGGATCCAGCTGCGGTCCGGCCGGCTCC